AAAATGAACTGGAGAAGGAAATAGCAAACCATTCTAGTATCTTTGCCAAGAAAATCCCAAATGGAGTCAGACATGACTGAAATGACTAAACAACGATAGCAAAAACATGTCTACGCTTACTTAATTCTTCAATCCCTGCTAACTATCATCCTATATCTCTTCTGCCCTTTGTGGCTAAATGCCTTGAAAAGGCCATCTACAGGGGGCAGCTAGGTGGCACAGTGGATAGAGCACTGGCTCTGTAGTCAGGAGGACCTGAGTTCAAATCCGGCCTCAGACACATAACACTCACTAGCTGTGTGACTCTGGGCAAGTCACTTAACCCTAATTGCCTCACAAAAAAAAAAAAAAAAAAAAAAAAGAATGTCAAAAAGGCTGTCTACATTAGGTGCCTCCACTTTCCCTCCTCTCACTCTCCTCTTAACATCTGACCTCATCACCACTGGAACTGCTCCCTCCAAAGTTACTAATGATCTCTTAGATGCCAAATCCAATAACCTTTTCTCAGTCCTCATTCTGCTCAACCTTTCTGCAGCCTTTAACACTATGGGTCACTCTCTCCTTTATGATACTCTCCTCTCTAGGTTTCAGAACACTCTCTCCTGATTCTCCTCCTACCTATCTGATGGCTCTTTCTGTTTCCTTTTCTGGATCCTCTTCCAGATCATATCCTTTAACTAGAGATATCCCTCAGGGTTCTGTCCCAGACTCTACTCTTCTTCTTCTGTACTACTTCAGTTGGTAATCTCATCAACTCCCAGGGATTTAATTACCATCTCTATGCTGGTAATTCTCAAATCTACCTTTCCTGCCCTAATCCCTGCTGACCTCCAATCTCAAATCCCCAACTGCCTTTCAGACATCTGGAACTGGATGTCCAGTAGACATCTCAAACCCAGTGGGTCCAAAACTGAACTCATGATCTTTCTCTCTAAGCCCTCCCCTGCAATCCTCTATATTACCGTAGAGGGCAACACCGTCTTCTCGGTCCCTCAGATTCACAATAGATGAGTTGTCCTGGACTCCTCACTATCTCTCACCCCTCATATTCAAGCTGTTAACAAGACCTGCTGAGTTTGCCTTTGCAGCATCTCTCAAATATGTCCCCTTCTCTCCTCTCACACTGCCATCCCTCTACTATAGACTCTCATCACTTCACTCCTGGATTATTGCAAGAGTCTGTGTGTGTGTGGAGCGGTCCTACCTGCCTCAAGTCTCTCCCCACTCCATCCATCCTCCATTCAAGCACTGAAGTGATTTTTCTAAGGCATAGGTTTGGTCATGTCACCACCCTACTCAGTAAACTCCAGTGGCTTCCTAGTGCCCCCAGGAACAAATACAAAATGCTCTGCCTGGCATTCAAAGCCCTTCATACTCTAGCTCCCTCCTACTTTTCCAGTCTTCCTACACCTGACTCTCTAACACATACTCTTAGATCCCATTACATTGGTCATGTGGTTGTTCCATGAATGAGACCCTCCATCTCTCAGCTCTGGGCATTCTCTCTGCTGTCCTCCATACCTGCAATGCTCTCCCTCCTTCATTCTGACTCCCTGGCTTCCTTTAAATCCCAACCAAAATTCCACCTTCTATAGGAAGCCTCCCCCAACCCCTCTTAATTCTAGTAGATTTTCTGTGTTAATTATTTCCTATTTATCCTGTATATAGATTGGCTTGCTTTGTACATATTTGTTTGCATGTTGTCTCCCTATTTAGGTTGTAAGTTCCTTGAAGGCAAGAACTGTCTTTTGCTTCTTTTTTGTATCCCCAGCACTTAGTGCAGTGCCTAGTAAGTGCTTAATAAATGTTTATTGATTGATATTCATGACTTCTAAAAACTTTGAGAGACATAATTTTGGGGCAATCATTTTATTAATTATGGCTAGCAAACATTAATAAAAGGATGTCATTTGGCCTTCTCTTGTAAACCAAAAATGAATCATGGAGGCTGCTCAATGCCTATATTCTCTTGCAAGAGTGGGTGTTCCTGACAGGCAGCAATCAACTCTGATTGGTTAACAATTAATGAGAGAATGAATATTATAATGAGAAGTGGACCTATTCTAATGAGGGGCTGAGGAACCTGACTTTGATTATGTCATTCTTACTCCCAGACCACCCCAACTCTAGACAATCTAGGGCAATCTAGACAAGGAGGTCTACCCCCCTCCCCAAAGCTTGCCTGAATAAAACACAATGGGCCAGAATTTATCTAGATTGGATTCTTTTTGCTAAACTTCCCCAGTTGGGTGCAGTCTCAAACAAGATTGAGGAGAATGTTAAATCCAATCTCATCATCAGCCCTGTTTTTCAGGGACAACTTACAAAGGGCTGATTTCTGAATGAGGAAATAGAAAAGGGAAACTCTTAATCTCAATTAATAATTAATTGGTTATTAATATGGTATATTGATATGGTATATCAATATTAATACAATCATTTCTCTCAAATTGATAAATGCTTGTTGGGGCAAGTGGGTTGGCATAGTGGATAGAGCACTGAACTTGGACTCAGGAAGACATGAATTCAAATCCTACTTCAGATATTTACTAGCTGTATGACCCTGCGCAAGTCAGTTAACCTCTCAGCCTCAGTTTCCTCATATGTAAATGGGGCTACTCATATAATCTACCTCTCAGGCTCATAGTGAGATTAAATGAGATAATGTTTATAAAATGCTTGCAAACCTTCAAATGCTATAGAAATACTGGCAGTTGTTATTGTTGTTACTGATGCCTGGCAACGAGATAAGGAGGCAATAAATGTAAAACAGAAGGACCGATAAGAGAAGTCAGGGTCCAGTCATGAATCTGGAGTAGGTCAGATCAATGTATTTTGTGTTTTGTCCAATAGCTTTGAAGTAGAAGTAGAGAAACTGGATTGTGGGTTACCAAGGTATGAAGATTCACAGCATGGTTTTGGTGGGAAGTGGGGGTGGAGAAAGAAGAGGAGGTCATTGGAGACCAAGAGGTTGAGTAATTGAGAGGTGGAGGGGCCAGATATCAATATTGAAATCCCTGGGGAGAGGAGTCTTGGGATGGGGTAGAGATCACAAATTAGAAGAGGTTGGACTCATTGAAAATGTTGGGAGAATGAACGAAAAGAGATCCTTCTAACACAGCAACAAAGCTTCATTCTTACATTCAATAAGCACTCATTAATATGTACCCAGCACTTTGCTAGTCACTGGGTATACAAATGCAAAACCAAAACCATTCTTGCCCTCTTGTTCTATTGGGGGAAAACAAGATGAACACGGATACATGTAAACAAAACGTATGCAAAGTAGTGTCGAAGAGAGAAACCAGGACACTAGCAAGGGAGGGAGGGAGCCAGCTATACTTCTTGTAGGAAGGAACAGACCTGGAAGGGAGTGGGGGGTTCTATGAGGTGGAAGTAAGGAGGGAGAGCATTCCAGGCATGGAAATGGGAGATGGGAGAGGGAACATAATATACCATGAACAACATTGGGATGGACCTTAGAGCTACTGAAAAAGAGTATGAATCAATTGAAGAAAAAGCATTGTTAAGTACATCACATCGTGCTGAGTGCTGGGGATGCAAGTGCTAAAGCAGAGGTGGGGAACCTTTGGCCCTCTAGGTCCTCATGTGCAGCCCTTTGACGGAGAGGCTTTTTGTTTCAGAAAGTTACAGGGACAGTGAGTGGAGCCATAGGAGAGTGGATTAACACACTCTTCTCAGCAGCAATGGCGAGACTGATTTAAGTATGACTCCAGAACTGGATAGCTGCGGGTGAGGGGGAGAGCATTGGCAAGACAGTTGGCAAAAAGATGGAAAGATGGCCAGGGAGTAAAGTGAAGAGTGGAGAACTTGAGGACTTTGTCTTGTCTTTTGCCTTTTTCTTTTCTTTTCTTTCTTTCTTCTTCTTCTTCTTTTTTTTTTTTTTTGGTATACCCAGTGCTTAGCAGCAGGCCTGGCACACAGTAGGTGCTTAATAAAAGCTTGTTGATGTGACTTGACTTGGCTGAAGCCTCCCTAAACGTGGCGGATCATATGAGCGATAAAACTGGAAAGGTGGACCACGTGGTGGTCAGATTGTGAAGGGTTTTCAAAGCCAGACAGAGGCAGGTGTTGATTATCTGGCCACAGAGAAAAAAGGAGAACCAGTAGAAGTTCTGAAGGGCAGTGAAAGTGAATGAGGAGTTTGATCAAAATGGATTGAATGGATCTAAAAAGGGGGAAGGTGACTGAGAAATGATGGTAGAGAGAAGGTCAAAGGAGGGGTGAGTCTGCCCATCTTCCTGGTGCTGTGAGTCAGGCATAGGCATGGCCGCCATTGGGGAGAGCTGCCACCATTGGGGCGTGGTGTCCTCAGGATGGACTGAGGAAAGTGTGAGTGAAAAGCAAGGAGAGAGAAGGAATGTAGTTTGGAAAATATGAGGATGGGAGAGGTGTTTATGACGAATAGGGCAGGGTTCCAAAGAACATACTAAAATGCTATAGATAATGAGTGAACCAGGTTACAGTCAGAATGGGGAGTGAAGGACTCATTCCAAAAAAGGGTGAGAATCTTGTTATGATGGTAAGGACAGGACCTTTACACCTTGGCATTGAGATCAGATGACTGGATTAGGAGTCTGGCCAGCTCTGACATTGTGCGTCCTAAGGTCCCTCCCAGCTCTGACATCCTGTGTTCTGAAGGTCCTCCCAGCTCTGACATTCTAGGTCCTAAGGTATATATATATTTTAAAGGCAGTCTGGGTTAAGTGACTTGCCCAGGGTCACACAGCCAGTAAGCGTCAAGTGTTTGGTCTGAGGCTGGATTTGAACTCACATCTTCCTGACTTCAGGGCCAGTGCTCTATCCAAGTCCTAAGATATTTTCAAGTCTAGTATAAAATACAAACTCATCTGGATTCTCAAGGCCCTTGCAACTCTGGCGTTTGGTGGTTCTGTGAATGGGGTGGGTGTTTTAAAAAGGCATAAGTGTCCCCATATGTTATGTTCCTACAAATATTTCCTCTTCCTCTGGTCCCACAGAGAGCTCAGAGCCGTCCATCCCTTCTAGAAGGAGAGAGTCCGTGGACTGCCCCAGAAGCGAGAGAAAACGCTAGCCTTGAAAAGGGTCTAGGAACTTGGGAGGAACTGGTAGACGCAGAAGCTCCTAACGAGATGGACCGAGTGACCAGGTACCCCATCTTAAGCATTCCCCACTCATCCAAGGTCAGTGACCTGCCAAGTGACCTGGAAAGCCACTACACCTTTGACGTTGTTCAAGTGGAGTCGGTGTCTCCGGGCTGGGACAAGGACATCGTTAGAATGAATTCTGGTGGCCAAAGCTTCAGATTTATCCCAGAGGAGACCTCAGGCCTGAGGATGGTGACTGTCACTCAGGAAACTGTCCCCATGCCCCACCAGACGCAGCATGTCCTGATTGAAAACCAGAGTGTCAACCAGTGGAACCCTTCTTGGGAGCGAAAGCCCCAGTCAGCGGTGGTGAAGACAGGACCTACCTACACCCTCCAAGCTTATCCAGAGGAGTGGCACCCCGGGAAGTTGTATTCAAGAGAGGAAGAGGAGGAGGAACAGCAACTGTACCACCTGGGCCCTGGTGAAAACGTTTTTCCAAAGAGGAGGAAGGATTTAGAACGGGAGCGAGAGGCGGTCATCCGGGATCAGGTGGTGAAGAGGAACACTACGGTGGCCACTCGCTGGAGCTCCCTAGACGAGCTGGATAAGATCTACTCTGGCCAGGACCCCTCGCCCACCTCAGCCTCTGACTCTGAGAAGGTCATAGATACCGAACAGATTGACTTCCTGGCTGCCCGCAAGCAGTTCATGAATTTGGAGAAGTCGACCTCCAACTCCCAACCCCCTCAGAAGCCCATGGGAAGGACCGTGCAGAGTGCAAGGGCATCACCCGAAACAGGCAGGGCTAATGTTGGCCAAAGCACCAGATCCCATTGGTCTAGTAAGGTTGGCCTGACCAACGGTTATGATGTCTCCATCAAAGGCCAGGGGAAGGACAATGCTGAGGGAGCTAGGCCTGGCCTGGCTTTGGCCCCGACCTCCCGTGGCCACTCTGTGGGCCAGTTATCCTTGGCATCTGTGGATGACGCCCGAGCCCTGGGCTCTGAGGATGAGGAGCCAAAGGAGACACCCATTGAGAGAGAGATCCGGCGGGCTCAGGAGCGGGAGGCCGACCTCCGGCAGCAGCGGGGGCTGCAGCGATCAGGCAGCCGGGATGAGCTGGTGGAAATCGCGGCCAGGCCGCTGTTGTCCAATATAAACCTGATCTTCACTCCCACCCCCAAGAAAGGGAAGGAGATGGGGCGGCCATCATCCTTATACATTCAGAGAGAGCTAGCCCTGGACACAAAGCGGGAGGAAGACCACCGCCGGCAGGTTGGACGCTCCGAGCCCACCAATGATGCCACTAGGGCCTCTACACCAAGCCAGCTGACCAGACACTCCGAGATCCGCAAAGAAGCCCCCAAGATAAGGCGAGTGCAGAGCTCTGACTCCATTCTGAGTCTGACTTCGGACACCCACCCAGCGGAGGCCACTCTGGAAGGAAGGAAGATTAATCGCATTCCGTTGGAGGCCTACCAGCCTTACCTGGGCCCACATAGCACTAAGAAAGAGTTCCCGTCTTATTCTTCCTACAAACAGGCTTCCTCACTGGGCTCCTGGTACCACACTATGAACTCCAGGCGGGAGGAAGGTGTGGCCACACCTCCACCCTCCTCACAAAAGGCATCCTGGGGTGGGGAGCAGATCAGGGAACAGCCATGGAAGTCGCAGGCCTCCACCATTCAAAAGCAGGAGGTGTGGAGGTCACCGCCACAAGAGTCCACTGGAAAGGCCTGGGATGCTCAGAAGCAGGGTGCTGCCCATGCTAGCCAGGGTGTGGTGCCTCGAAGCTACTTCCAGCTACAGCCCCTGAAGGTCAAGGTCACCTCCTCCCCTGGATCAGAGGAGGCGAATGTTCCCCAGCAGGACCGTATCTGGGAGCCCAAGGGCCATGTTGAAGAGGTGGCCATCCCCACCAAGCCCCTACGGTCCCAGTCATCTAGCCTGCTGGAGATGGAGATCCAGAGTGTCCTGCAACGGGAGAAGGAACTGGAGGAAGAGCGGAGGAATGCCTTGTTCCCAGAAGTCTTCTCCCCTGCTACCGAGCTGGACCAGCCATTGGAATGGGAAGGTCCAGACTCCAGGCACTCATCTGCAGTTTCAGGTGAGGAGCAGGCCTTGTTCCCAGTAAAGCCTTAGGCATCATCCCCCAGGCCTGAACCTTCCCCATCAGGAACTCCCTTTGTCCCCTAACTTTTCACTCTGGTTTCTGCCTCTCCACTGCATTTTGGCTTCCCCCACTTTCCTGTTTCCTTCACATTCTCTGTTTTCCTGAGTTCTGTGGGTTCCCTGCTCAGTTTTCATTGTTTCCTCTCGGCTTCAAACACCTAGAGTGCGTTGTGCCCGGCCACTTTAGTTTTGTAACATCCTTGTTCTCAGGCTTGGGAAGGGAGATGTCTGGGCTTAGAGTGTGTGTGTGTGTGTGTGTGTGTGTGTGTGTGTGTGTGTGTGCCCACGGAAACATGTGTGACAGGAGGCAGCATCCCTGGGTTCTGTTAGGGGCCCTCTCATGTATAAGCTATAGGAGTCCAAGTAAGGTCCTGCCTCTCTCTCTCTGCTTCTCTACTTCCCTTCAGAAAAATCAGCCTTTCCCAAGACTGTTAGAAGAGCCTGTCTGAGTCCAGGTAGGCAGTTGCTTCTTTTTGTGCGTCTGTTTCCCACCTCTGTAAAACCAATTTCTCCTGAGACTGATTAGGAGGGTTTGTGTAGGAGTAAAGGGGTAAGACCCACTGTGAGTTTTCCTTTGGGAAGCTAGGTGACACAGTGGTTAGGGTGCCAGGCTTGGAGTCAGGAAGACTCATCTTCCTGAGTTCAAATCCAGTCTCAGACACTTACTAGCTGTGTGACCCTGGGCAAGTCACTTAACCCCTTTTGTCTCAGCTTCCTCATCTGTAAAATGAGCTGGAGAAGGAAATGGCAAACCATTCCAGTATGTTTGCCAAGGAAACCCTAAATGGGGTCACAGAGAGTCAGACACAACTGAACAACGACAAAGTGGGTGAGGAAGCAGTTAGATGACACGGTGGGTAGAGCACTGGGCCTAGAGTTAGGAAGACCTAAGTTCAAATATGACCTTACCAACCTTGTGACCCTGGGCAAGCCACTTAACTTTTGTCTGCTTCAGTTTCCTCAACTGTAAAATTGGGATAATAGTAACACCTACCTCACAGAGTTGTTATGAGAGTGAAAAGAGGTAATATTTGTCAGTTGTTTAACACAGTGCCTGGAACATAATAGGAGCTTAATAAATACTTTCTTCTTTCCTCCCTCCCTCCTTCCTTCTTTTCTTCCTTCCTTCCTTGGAGTAGACTTGAAGACAGGACTCTGCCCTTGCCTCTCAGGGTCTACTTGCTAAATGTATGATCCTGGGCAAATCACTTCCCTTCTCCTAGACTCAGTTTCCTTGCCTGTCACATGGGGATAATACTTACACCACTGAGTTGTTAGAAAAGAGATGCTTTGTCAGCCTTAAAATATTGCAGAAAGGAGAACTAGTGTAATTGTCTAGGCCTCATTCCCAGGCGATCAACTCGAGAGAGGTGTAGGGTGAAAGGGAGAAGTCTGCCTGCAGTACTTTGAGATCTTGGCTAATATCAATTCCTTTCATGTGTCTGCTGCAGGTATTACAGGAAGCTACTCTGTGTCTGAAAAGCCCACCTTCTCCCCTGTCCACTTCCACTCAAACTTGGTGTGGAAGGTGACAGATCAGACACCCAGACAAGATGTGACCTGGAGGACAAAGAGGGGTGGAGGGGTAAGTTGTAAGCAAGGAGAGGCTTTTCCCTGCTTTACCTCTCTGGCCTGAGAATTGCCTCCAGTGTGCAAACACAAGGCTTCTTTCTCGGATTGCCAGCATCTGTGCTGAAAGGAGTTGGGAGGGAAAGGCTCAGAGCTGGGGTTTCTTGCTGACTTGCCACCTGGCCATCCATCTATCTGTGCCATGGGGATGGCTCTAGGGAGAGGAGAGTCTGGGGAACCAAGAGCCCCCTCGGGGCTGAGGTACATCTCCCTGGGCCTGAAATCTCTGTTTGTCTCCCCTACAGTATGCAGGCCTTGATACATCTGATGCTGTCAACATAGAGGTAAGTCTCACTCTCCACTGGTGCAGTACCTAGGCTGTGGGAGAAGGGAACAGAGACCAGGGTGCTGCCTTGGGATGGAGTATCAAGATTCATCTGCCAGCTTCCCTTTGACTTTAAGGACAGTTTCTCCAGTAATGGACCTTTGCCCCTTTCATTCCTCTAATCAATCTCTCCCTCAGCTATCAAGGCCTCAGAGTCACAGAGAATCACTGTATTTAGGATTAGAAGGGATTAAAAATGACTAAATCCATTTTATAAAAAAGAGGGAAACCCATGGAGAGAGAAAGTAACTTGCCTAAGATCACCGAGCTAGCAAGTAGTGGAACCAGGTTTAGAACTCAGATCTTCTCAGCTTCAAATCCGGTATCTTTCATACTACATCAACATTATAGAAGGCAGTAAGAGGTCCAGTCCTCCCCGTGTGAGGACCAATCAGGCCATAGACTGAAGGAGATGACCTGGATTGGTGGAAGGAGCCCTGAGCTGGGAACCAGGACCCTGGTGTTTCAATACCAGCTCCTAATTCACTGTGCAGTAATAAACAATCTTCTGCTCCTTTTTAATATGTGGGACTTAGACCAGGTCATTAAGGGCCCTTTGAACTCAACAATCTAAGAATCAGTCCAGGATTGCAGACTCAGAAATCTTGGCTCCTTCTGTACAGTCTCTAGCACCGGCCCCTTCCCTTCCCTGACTTGTGGAGAAGTTCATATTTTTTATTATTATTATTATTATTATTAATTATTATTTTTCCTTTAGCCTGAGTGCAAAGTCTCTGAGGGAACAGGTTAAAAACGCAATGTAACACAGTCCTTGCATTCAGTAGGCACCTAATAAATGTTTGCTGAAGTAGTGTAGGATATTGTAGAAAGAATGTAGGCCTCAGAATCAAGAGATCCAGGTTACTGGCTTTGTGACCTGGGAGCAGGTCATTTGCTGTCTTGAGCATGCTAGGTGACATGGTGGACGGAGTGCTGGGCCTGCAGTTAAGAACACCCAAGTTCAAATCCGGCCTCAGATATTTACTAGCTGTGTGACCTTGGGCAAGTCACTTAACCTCTGTCTCAGTTTCCTCAACTGTAAAATGGGAATAATAATAGCATCTACTTCACAGAGTTGTTGTAAGTATCAAATGAGATAATATTTATAAAGCATGTAGTATAGTGCCTAGCACATATGCTTATTACTTTTTCCTTGCCCCTTCTCCTGTCTCTAAGATTCAGTTTCCTCATCTGTAAAATAAGGGTAACTACCAATCTGAAAGTATTATGAGAGGAATGCAATCTCGAAATGGGAGTTAGTGTTCTTACTGAACTGAAAACTTCTCTAGCCATAAAGGGAGCATGAAAGGGGGGTGGAGCCAAGATGGCGGAGTAAGAGCAGTGATTTGTTTGAGTTCTCCCCCAAACCCCTCCAAATACCTGTAAAAAAAAAAAAATGGCTCTAAAGGGAGCATGTCCTGGAATTGGAAGATTTGAGCTAGAATGGTCTTTGGAGTCAGGGAGACCCAGGTTCAAATCTGACCTCGGACACTTACCATCCTATGTGACCCTGGATAAGTCACCTGACTTCTCTGTCCCTCACTTTCCTCATATGTAAAATGAGGGAGTTTGACTTGATTTGCCTCGAAGTTCCCATCAAGCTCTAAACCTATGATTTGATGAGCTCATCCAGTCCCATCTTAATTATATATGTTATCTGAGGCTTAGAGGGAGGAAGTAAATTGTCTAGTGTTGTACAAAGTATTAAGTGGTGAACCAGGATTTGAATACAGGTCTTCTAACTCAAAATCCAGTGTTCTTTCTGAGTTGTTACACAGTCACCGAAATGAGAATCTAGGCCATCATCCCTTCATTTATTATTTATTAAGTGCCTACTGTGAGCCAGTCCCTGTGCTAGGTTGGGGATTCCCTTCTCCTCTCCTCCCCTACCCCAAATGCTAACCTTCTCCCTCTCATTGACTCTGCTCTCCTCTCCTCTCTCTTGCAGATTGTGGAAGCCACAAAGGTGACCCGACATAAGAATCCCAAGGCTACTCTCTGGGAAGCCAGAATATATGCCAGTGAGGATGAAGACTGAGCCCCCAAGTCTAAGCCAGGCACACGCCAAGCAATAGCCAATGCAGAGCTGGGGAGAAGATGGCGCCCAGGCCTTCTCTCCCCACCTGACTATCCCTCCCTATCCTAAAACAAAACCCTATCATCAGCAAGTGGCTGATGGAGAGAGACGAAGGCACGGAAAGATTTTTCTCCTTGGAGACTTGTTTTTATATGATCAAAGAAGCTAAAATCAGGTGCCAATAATATGGAAATATGGTTTGCATGACTGCACATGTATAATCTATATCAAATTGCCTGCCTTCTCATGGGGGAAGGGTAGTGGAGGGGAGAGAGAATTTGGAACTCAAAATTTTAAATGATTGTTAAAAAATTGTACATGTGTAATCTGTATCAAAGTGCTTGCCTTCTCAAGGAGGGGGAGGAGAGGGGAGGGAGGGAATCTGGAGCTCAAACATTATCAAAAACAAATGTTAAAAATTGTTTTTATGGGGAAATGAGAAAAAATAAAAACATTCTTTAAAAAAATCAATGTTAAAAATTGTTATTGGGATGGGGCAGCTAGGTGGCGCAGTGGATAGAGCACTGGCCCTGAAGTCAGGAGGACCTGAATTCAAATTCAGCTTCAGACCAAACACTTGACACTTACTAGCTGTGTGACCCTGGACAAGTCACTTAACCCCAATTGCCTAAAAAAAAAAAAATGGTTATTGGGGCAGCTGGGTGGTACAGTGGATAAAACACTGGACCTGAAGTCAGGAGGACCTGAGTTCAAATCTGGCCTCAGACCAAACACTTGACACTAACTGTGTGACCCTGGGCAAGTCACTTAACCCCAATTGCCTAAATAAAAAATTGTTATTACATGTAATTGGAAAAAATATATAATTTTTTAAAAATCAGGTGCTGAAATCAGAAGGTACAGATATACATATATGTATGTGTGTGTATGTGTGTGTATATATATATATGTATACATTATTTTTTCTTGCAGTTGAGTTTTTTCCCATTTTTTTTAAGTTGAAGGAACAAAATTCCTGTTGATTTCCTCTTTGCACAAAGGATTGCCTACAACCTTTGGTTCCACTGGGTTCTACTCTGGGCTCTGCCACTGACTTGCTATGTGACCTTAAGCAAATCTCTTCGGCTCTCTGGTCTTTGGTTTCCTCATCTATAAAATGTAAAGGTGGTACAAAATACTCCCTATAGTCCCTCTTAGCTCTGACATTCCATGTTCTAAAATCCCTTCAGGCTCTTACTTTGCTCCAAGGGCCCTCCCAACTCTGACATTCCATGTTCTAAGGGCACTCCCAGCTCTGACATTCCATGTTCTAAGGGCCCTCCCAGCTCTACATCTTCTGTTCAGGGAGCTGCATGCCACCTACCAGTGCCTTCAGACATCGCTCCATGGTTCCAGTTTCCTCATGTGTCCTAGAGCTAATTGGATAAGGTGTTGTTGTTCATCCTTCATTTTCAAAGAGGACCAATGACATCATGGGGTGATGGCTCGACTTTCGAGCAAATTGGTTTTAAGTGAGGCAGAGTCGGGACCAATCAGGTAGGTCAGGATTACTTATGGAATCCTAGAATCTGAGTGCTGAAGGGCTCTGATGCCATCTAACCCACCCCACACTGAAAAAGGAATCCTCTCTCCAAAGTCCAAGACAAGTAGTTATCCAAATTCTACTTGGAGAATTCCCCCCAAGGAAGGGGACCCTGCTGCAGCTCACTCCATCTCAGGACAGCTCTGATTGTTAGAAAGTCCTTTCTTACAGCAAACCTTACGGCAAACTGGCTTCTCTGCCACTTCTCTTCAGTGCTCCTGATTCTACCCTCAGAAGCCAAGCAGAACAAAGCTGAGCTCTCTTCTACTCGGCAGCCCTTTGGATAGTGAAAAACAGCTACCATGTCCATCCCAATGGCCTAGTCTTTGCTTCTCTTAGGCCAGCCATCCCCAGGTACTCCAACCAATCTTTCCGTACAGCATATGGCCTTCACTTGAACTGTCCTGGTCACTCTTGTATGTATCAGTCAATGTCCTTCCTAAATATGGTGGCCAGAATTGGATGCAGTATCCTGTATATAGTCCAATCAGGGAAGAGGGCAGTTGGGACTATACTGATCTAACATTATGCTCAACAGAATGCAAGTTTCTTGAGGCAGGGACCATTTTATTTTTGTCTATTTTATCCACAGTGCCAGGCACCTAGTAGGTGCTTAGAAATGCTTGTTGATGGATTGAATTAGTTCATCTTGAGGATCTGTTTTTTCCTCAACACTCCAGAATTCTGCTATTAACCTCTCCTTTATCGGGGAGGGGCCAAATACAGGGAAGATCTGACTTCAACAAATATTTATAAAGTGCTTACTATGTAAGATATCAAATCAAATGATTAGATTATCTTAATGATAATTATCAAATGATTCTCTTACTATGTAAGATATCTAATCAAATCCCTATATGCTTTGGAGTTTTGAGGCTAACTAATCAAACTACATACTTCTTATGGTTGAGGAAACTGAGACCCAGAGAGGTTCAATGCCTTCTCCAAGATCACATAGGTAGTAAGTAGTGGAAGCGGGATTTGAACTCAGTTCCTCTGACTCCAAATCCAGCATTCTTTCTACCACAGTGTCTTGTCTAGGGATACGCATTCATTATGTGGCAGAGACTGGAAGGCTTTGAACCCTGGTCTTGCTTCTAAAATTGGCTGTCTATCCACTACTCTATGCCTGTGTCTATGTCTATCCACTACTGTATATACGAAGTCTATCCAGGGTGATTTCAAGGGAAGAAAGACCAGGGCAATCACGGAAGATGCCATATGGAAGGTAGCATCCAAGTTGCGCTTTTAACGAAGCAAGGGGCAGCTAGGTGGTGTGGCGGATAGAGCTCTGGGTCTGGAGTCAGGAAGACTTGAGTTTAAATCCAGCCTCAGACACTTAGTCTGAGTGACCCTGGGTATGTCACTTAACTCTATTTGCCTTAGGTCCTCACCTGTAAAATGAACTAGAGAAGGAAATGGCAAACCACTTCAGTATCTCTGGCAAGAAAACTCCAAATGAGGTCATGGCGAGTCGGACACGACTAGAAAAGGGCTTAACAACAACAAGGGTTTCTACCAGGGAGAGGTGAGGAGGTGGTGTATTCCAGACACGGTGGGGGTTGAGGGTAGGGAGAGAGCTGTGTAATGGTACACACATTTGAGATGGAACAGGAACAGCTAGCAGGCCATTTTGACTCGAGGAGAGAGTCCAAGAAGAAGAGTAACATGAAACAAATCTGGCAAGTTACCTTGGGGTGAGGGGAACCGTAGATCTAAGATTGGAAGGGACTCAGAGGTCATTTACTCCAGCACCTTCATTTCATAGAAGAGTAAACTGAGTAGGGAGGAGCCACCTTATGGTGGGCTTTAAATACCAGGGTGAGAAGTCTATATTTAATCCAAAAGGCCGAGCGGGGAGCTTCCAAAGATTTTTGCAGATTTAATTTGGTTCAAGGATGGAGACGTAGCTCCTACCCTCTGTCTGCCCGTCTTGGGAGGAGACACAGTTACAAATCATCCTTTGGAGCTCTCCGACTGAAACAGACAGGACAGAGGCCAGGCCAGGACACAGACTGTGGGGTTGGTTGGGGCCTGGTCCCTTTAGAGTGAGAGACATCAAAGGCAAGGGACTGGAACAGGGCACCGGCATTGTTCCCAGGGCAAACAGACCATCATTGTTCAGGATTTTCCAACTGTAGTGGAAATGGGGCCTGCCCCTTTGTCTCTCAGCCGGAAACAGCCTGGAACGGATAATGGTTGGAGGAGGTCTCTTCCCTGGGCTGAGGAGCCCCATGAGGCAATGCAAAGACCTTGGAATCAGCAGCCTGGAGCTCTTGTACTGCTTCTGTCACCGATCCCTGTGCAAGCATAACTATTTATTGAGCTATTGAAGTCCCTTCTACTCCCTGGTCCTCAGGTTCCCCCTCTATGACACAAGGGGGTTGCATTAGATGCTCTCTAAGGTCCTTCCCATCCTGAGATCCTTTCTAGCTCTGAAATTCTGTATTCTAAGGTCTTTCTGATATCCTTTGATCTAAGGGCCCTTCCAGCTCTGACATCCTGTGTCCTAAGGGCCCTCCCAGCTCTGACATCCTGTGTCCTAAGGGCCCTCCCAGCTCTGACATTCCCTGTTCCAAGAGCCCAGCCAGTTTTGATATGTTGTGATTCTAATAACCCAAGACAGGAGAGGGTTCTGAACCTAGAATTTATTTAGGTTAGAACAGATGCTACCTTGGGAAGCACATAGGTGTCTCTCTCATCTTTACACATGTTCCATCTCCAAATACTATCTTTTTTAAAAGAAAAAAATAAACTAAAATGGTCACCCCTTCCTTTGGAGATGTTCTGTGATACCTGCCATGGGTCTGCCAATCATTCTGGCAATGTCTCAGATGGGGAGCTGGGTGGGAAGAGGCAGGAGACGTGTTCCTGGGAGATAGCCTGGGCCTAAGCCCTTCCTGGAGCAGGGAAGGGAAGACATGGCCTTCCACTGTCCAAAAGGTCATGTCTGGCAAAGATCCATGAGAACAATCACAGAAGGATCCCTGGAGGAGGTGAGCTTTGCATAAGATTTTTAACTAAGGGAGGCTAAGTGCCCACCTTCTGGTTTTCAAAGTCACTATTTAAAAGGTGAGGTCAGCTAGATGGTATAGTGGATAGAACACTGGGTCTGGAGTCAGGAGGATCTGAGTTCAAATGTGACCTCAGACACTTATTAGCTGTGTGACCCTGGGCAAGTCACTTAACCCTGATTGTCTAAAAAAAAAACAAAAAAAACTTAAATTTTTAAAAAGGTTGCCTTCACTTGGGCCCTATTGCTGGGTTCTTTCTTTCCAAGTAAGCAGAGTCATCAAAGGATGATACAGAATTTGAAACTGACTCTTGACTGCTGGCTGCCTCCCCTCCTTAAGATCTCAGGGCTAGTGTTCGAAACCAGAGCAGTACTGCCGCTTTGTGGCCATTTCAATTCAATTGTGCAAACAGTGAAGTGCCCCCTCTAAAAGGGACCTGATCAGGGCAGGTAGATGACACAGTGGATAGAACACCAGCCCTGGATTCAGCAGGACCTGAGTTCAAATCCGGCCTCAGACACATAACACTTACTAGCCATGTGACCCTGGGCAAGTCACTTAATCCCATTGCCAAGTCAAAATAATAAATAAATAAATAAATAAATAAATAAATAAATAAATAAATAAAT